TCATTCAGTCCATTACACTGCCGTGCGCAATTGGCTGCCGCGTTTCGCCCACAAAACGCACGGTCAATTCACTTTACCGTATATTCTGCGAAGCGCTTTGAGACGTTTCGCAGACGTGACAAGGCGCTGTGTCAAATGCGAGGATTGTGAAACGAATTTAAAATATCTAGTATTTACTCCGAAACAGATGAATTAATACGTGGCCAAGGTATTAACACAATCGGCGTGGAAGCCAGGCGCAGAACAGGCTCCAGCAATGTTACTTCAGCTTGTCATCTCCCAGCCCAACCAGCACGGTGTTTGACTACATCTCTGGTAATATTACCGCAGCTCTCTCGCGCTGCCGCACTCAGTTACTCCACCCGAGCAGCTCTCACTGTTACGAAGCATATCTTTCAATCAGTCCACCTCCCTCCCATTGTCGGCCACACTAACTACTACAACAATGTAATCAGCAATTTATGTTCAAACAAAAATATTCGATCTCCCCACCTGTACTGCTTCTCTTGACTTGCCCAGCAGCGGGGCGGCCTGTCACCAGCACTGTCTTTTATAGCCTTGGATAGGTGGACAGATACAATACAACATTATAGGTCGGGCATTAATGTTCTCAATACAAAATTATATTGGGAAAGTGCCTTTCACGTCGGGAGGACGTCCCAATGTTTGTTAGGTCAGGGTATCACGAGATATATGTATGGGGCAAGGACGGGTAATTGGAGTTGAGGTACAGATCAGCCACGATCTTATTAGAGAATGGCGGAACAGGCTTGAGGGGCTGAATGGCCTTCTCCTCCTGTTCCGGTGTTCCTTGTAGGCCAAATTGTTGTCAAATTGTCAATTTAGCAGGGGTACGCCACTGCGCCTCGTAATTTTAGAAACAATAAAAGAGAGATAAGGCTCATCAGTATCGCGCAGTCACCCTGTAAGTGATTTTTGCTTCAGAACGGCTGGTCAGAGACAGACAAGTGAACTGACATGCTGAGTGGTTCTACAATGTCCACAGACAGGCACTACTACCAGGTAAGGGACGGTGTAAGTTACGAGTGAAGCTCCCACTGCAATTCAGCATCAAGGCAACAACAGCGTTAACAAAATTACATTTATTATGGCGCCTTTCACGTCGGGAGGACGTCCCAGGTTAGACAGCAGTTTTTACGCTGAACTTTCTTTGCGATTTCAGCTCACACGACACTGCAGCAATTGTTGATTTAATGTCTCATCCAGGGGGCGTCTTTGGATGAGACGTTAAATCGAGGTCCCGTCTGTCTGTTCAAGTGGGTGTCAAAGATCCAGTGGCGCTATTCGGAAAGAGAGGGGAGTTTCTGGTTACTCAGTCCGTAGCCGTTTGTGGGGCGTCGCTGTGCGCAGTCGTCTGCCGAGTTTTGGCCACAAAATATACAGTCACTTCACTTTATAGCATATGACTCTATCACCCCCATCCTCGCCCGACTCCACTGGCTTCCCATCACACAGAGGACACAGTTCAAGATCCTGGTCCTCACCTTCAAAGCCCTCCCTCTGGGACCCCTGTTTATCCTGTGAGGCGCTTTGAGACTCCTCAACAGTGTGATAAGGTGCTTTATCAAATGCAAGGATTATTATTATTATTATTATTATAATAATAAAACCACAGAAGCACCGGGAAAAGCAATACTGCTGCAGCGATAGCGAACTCTTGTCTAAATCACTGCGACACTGAAAGGCTTTCCAAAACAGCAGTCATGGTTGGATTAGTCCTTGCAGGCTTTGTTTGTTTGGAGAGTTATATGCTTACAAAAGCAATTTGTCCGAGGTTTATGGCAGAATGCACCTATCTGTTGTTTGTGTGCACAAGTCCCTGCGTTTGAACTCTAATGCCGCAAATGCTTTGTCAAAAAAACAGTAATCGCTGTGTTACACAAAAGAATTCTCAGTAGAATAGAGGCACGTGGAGCAATCCACTGCCAATTTACTGACGAGAGTCTTGCTCTGTCGTGGTGGAACTGAAGTGGTTCGATTTCTACCTGCTTTGTACAATACACATACACACACGACTTATTTCCCTCAATGTTTACTGTTTATATCCAGAAAATTGGCCATTTTAATGCAAGGATACAATGATGCCCACTTTAAATGTTTTGAGCTTCAAACGCACATTGGTGCCAAACCCATCTGTGGACACTGGCTCATGCCTCGGTTTGTTCCGGCAAGCATTCAATGTCCTCCAACACAGATTATGGGATAACGAAGGACAATTTATACAGTGCCCTTCACGCGAGGTAGTGTCTCGGAGCGCTTAACAAGGGCATAGTCTGACACTGAGCCATGGAAAGAGAGGTGACCATAGCAAATGGTTGTAGAGGAAAAGTCTTTCGGTGCAATCGATCTGAAAAAGGACATCACAAGCTGAGCTCAAACCTTTGCTTACTTGACGTGCGCAAGCGTACACTCTCCAGCAGGAGTTAACGGACAATAATTAAGAACAGAACCAGAGTAATTTCTCTCTCTCCCCGCCCATACCCACACATGCAGTGCCATAGTCGTAGCATTTTACCACAGTCCGGGGCCAAGACCAGCCGATTTGACACAGACCAGACACGAAACAACATACGTCACTTTCTTTAATAAAAGCAGAAGTCGCTGGAACCACTCAGCAGGTCAGGCAGCATCTATGGAGAGAGGAAAGTGACTTAACGCCAGAGTTCTGATGAAAGGTCATCGATCTGAAATGTTAACTCACTTTCCTCTCTCCAGAGATGCTGCCTGACCTGCTGAGTGTTCCCATTTCTATTTCCGAGTTCCATCATCTTGCAGTATCTTGTGAATTGACTGTACATTTTTGGGGTGAATTAAGAGTAATTGAGCAGGATGCCTTTCTCACGTGCAGGAAAACCTGGGGCAGATGTCCTGGAAATTTAAACAGAAGCACACTCCGAATCCAATGCTCCCCTGAATCACTGGTTAGCCAACGCAAAAATAAATAAAAGATAAATTTGATTTGAATAAGCGAGTGCCCGTCCAGTAAGGGTTAGCCAAGTAATCAGGGAACGATTTATTTTCTTTGCGTGGGAGCGAGCTCTTTTCCCGACCAAATCTCTTAAGCGATAATTTGTCTTAAGGTTAAGGAGCTCTCTCTGGCAGAGATAAATGCTACAACATTACATGTCAAAATTGGATCCCTATTTCAAAGGTTCCCAAAATGTTAAACGTCCGGAGCAAAGCCGTTACAGAATGATTATAAACGAATATGGTCTGTGTCCAACTGAAATCGATCTTGAAGCCTAAACACATTTGTCTTACAGAAGCCAAAGGAGCCGGCAAAAACCCTTTTTTAATTTGGTTTTGTCCCTCAGGAAACCAGAGAGGCGAGAGATTAGCATCAATCTGAATTTTATTTTAATTACACAACAGCGTGAGGCTGGTTAGCAGAGTGACGGGTTGGGGGGGGGAAACACGTTTCCAAAACTGCAGCCGTTCCAATTTATTCAGCAGAGGAAACCTCCGTTGTGTGCAGAATTGCTGACAGTAAATGAATAATAAATGAAATACTAATCAAGAGGCGTTGCTTTGTGAATTGAAATTGATAAAGTACGTTGCTTATCATTGCACCGGGCCGTTTGCATTGAGAACAAGGATCCCCATTTCGAATGCCCCCAAAACTTTAAATGTCAAAACATCGCCCCAATTCCCAACTCGGGTCCAAATCCCCGACTGCCCAGCGCCTTGGGGACGTCCTCCCGTCGTGAGAGGCGCCGTGTAAATGTAAATGGTTGCTGTTGTTATCGTTTGAACGCCTTCGATCTCTCAGAAGAGCTCCCCAAAGATTTCACACGAAATTACAAAGATGGAACATCACGAGGAGAGAAGATGAAAAGTGGGACACAGATGATGCTGGTTGCTAGGAGGTTAAAGGATGCCTCGCTATCCGAACTCCCTTTTCAAAATATCTAAGCTGTGAACAGTCAGGATTATCGAACAACAACAGCCCCATGTTGTTTTTTTTAATTAATATTTGTTCTTAAAGCAGCGAGTGTTGGCATCATTGATGGGACAAACTGGGAGGGAGTATTGAGCTGTCGACAGCGCAAAGGAGTTGGTTCATCGGGAGACCCGGTCAATAACACAGGACGCTGCTTGAGGGCCGTTCGAGAACGTGACAATGTGAGGAAGGTCAATCAACATCAGGAGAGGTCAGTCAGTAACAAGGTGTTGCTTTGGGAGCAGGCACTGAACCCGACTAACACTGGAAACTGTAATGCATTTACATTTCAATCAACTACTGTCACAGAACTCACGTCTTCCCCCGTAATCACCAGGAGCAGCACGGCGTAGACACACGGAATACGTCTAATGTCGCCCACACAATACACAGTCACCACACTTTGCAGTGTATCCTGCGAAGCGCTTTGAGATGTCTCGAAGGCGAGATATGCGCTGTATCAAAATTATTACTATCATTATGGAACACATCTGCATGGTACTGGGAAAGATTTTGCACTATCTTTGCCGTCGATCGAGGCATGAGGCAGCAGGGGGACTTCCTGAGTCAGTTAGGATGAGGCACGTGACAGAAATGCTAATTGGAATATGGCTGTGTGCTAAAGACTGTGATAATTTGGAGCTTCCGCCTTCCATATAGATGCTACCACAGAGAATATAATACCACCAATAATAATAATCCTTGCATTTGATATAGCCAAAGAGAGGGAGGTGGAGTGGGGATCCATGTATTACACAATGGCAGTGACATTTGGCAATAGCACTACAGTTTATTCTGGAGAATAGAGAGAGAGAGAGAGAGAGAGAGGACAGCACAGGCCCAAAAAGGGTCCAATCCTCAAATTCTTTGCAAATTGGCTGCCGCGTTTCGCCCGCAAAATACGCAGTCAATTCGCTTCGCGGTACGTTCCGTGAAGCACTTCGAGGCGTCTCGAAGACGGGATAAGGCGCTCGAAACACGATCAAAATTCTCCCAGAGGAGAACCCAATGTCAGCGAGGTGACACCCAACTTACTTACCTGGCTGTTGTCGAGGGTGAATTGAGAATCGTGGGAAAGGCAGCGGGTTGGAACTCTGGAGTCTCCTGCCTCGGCAGTGAGCTGCTGCTAACTAATTCATCCGACACGTCTGTCTCGCACTGAGGTGTCTGTTCTACAGTACAGTCTAGCACCTCGCTCTCCACATCACTTTTTCCTGCAAGGAAAAAAAAACCTCCCAATTAAGACGGGGGAAGAACATTTCGCCCACAAAATACATAGTCAACTCGCTTTACAGTATATTCTGTGAAGCGCTTTGAGACGTCTCAAAGACGTGATAAGGCGTTGTATCAAATGCCAGGATTATTATTATTTATATAAAGAGACAGAGCCCTAAAGCAGGGCCGAGCACAGTTTACTGTGCCACCAAAATTCCTTGCCAGTGTCTTTTTTTTCAGCTGTTTCATAAAATCTTAAGCGATAATTAAGTTATTTATTTAACCTCGACTGTCCAGCGCCTTCAGACATTCTCCCGACGTTAAAGGTGCTATAACAAATATAATTTGCTGTTGTTGTTACCTGCGAAGGTTAAAAATATCCTTCGATCTTGCTTTCTTTTTCTTCACACTTCACTTTCCTCTCGTTCCCTCTGTTCTTCAGTTTGTCGATCAGCTGCTGAAACTCTCTCTGGTGCTTCTTGCCTATGAATGTTAACACGGCAACAATATGAGAGGAACATTTTAGAATAATAATAATAATAATAATAATCCTTGCATTTGACGCAGAGACTTATCACGTCTTCGAGACGTCTCAAAGTGCTTCACAAGATATACTGTGAAGCGAACTGACAGTATGCTTTGGGGGCAATATTTTTGCTTTAAAGTGGCGCTTGAAATAGTCCAATGAACAACAAAATTACATTTGTATAACGCCTTTCATGTCGGGAGGACGTCCCGAGGAGCTGGACAGTCATTGTTTCTGAACAAGGAAGTGAATCGCTCACGGAGCCAATGTTGTTAAGACAACGAGGCTATAAAAGTAATCGTCGTTGCATTTGCTATAGCATCTTTCATGGGAGAACATCCCACAGCACTTTAGAAGATTTACTGTCAAGTGTAGTGACTGTATTTTGTCGATCATGTCAGCCAATTTGCGCACATCAATGGCCCACGAACATCCATAAAATTTCCAGGGTGGGGGCGGGTGGAGGGGATTGAATACCTAGGACACCAGGGGAAACTCCCTGCTTACTTTCTACAGTTTATAACTGAACGTGTTTAAGCCTCTAAACAACAGACAAGATACTGCAGATGCTGGAAATCTGCAATAAAAACAGAAGTCGCTGGGAACACTCAGCAGGTCAGTCAGCATCTATGGAGAGAGGAAAGTGAGTCAACGTTTCAGGGTGATGACCTTTTGTCAGGAATCTTTAAACTGCTTTCTTAGCAACATCAACTTGTATTTATACAGCGTCCCAGAGCGCTGTTTAAGCTGCTGACGTGCACAAAAACGTACAGAAGGGGTTTAATGCTCTGCATCGCACACAATGTGTTTCATCTCCGGACCGCAAGCTTCTGTGTTTCGTTTGGAGGATAAAACATCACAGCTGGGTGACAGTCTGTGAAGGGAACAGTGAAACAAACAGATGCCAGATGCAGGAGGAATGTTATCAGACGAGATGGAATAGCCTGCAATAAGGTTTCCTAGCAAAAAGGCCTCAAACAGCCTGGAGTCTGCAGTTTGATGACTAGACAGATGTACACTGTCTGCACGAATAGCGCAATAAAGATTTTGTCAGGGAGAGCGTGCGTGAGGTGCTTAGAAAGAGAGTGAAATCTTGTGATGGCTGAGTGAATACGTGTGAAAGAATGTCAGCAAATGGACATGGTTGGAACAAAGATAATCCTCCTGCTCAGCCCATCACGCACACTTAACTTCGGACCAAACTGGGTGAAAATGTTAGATGGGGAGTAAAGGTCCCTTCACAGGGCAGGTCAGATACTGTACAATCCAATTAACGTTTATATGGGGCCTTTCGTGTGGAGAGAATCTTGTGGTAGAGTCCCAGAGCGCTTGACAGTGGCGGAGCACGACGCTGAGACGGGGGGGAGAGAGATGATGGTGGGCACTGTCGAAGAGGAAGGTCTTCAGGCTCGAAGATGGGGAAGGAAGGGGCGAGGCGGAGAGGGGGATAGAGGAAGAGTGTTCCAGAGTTTCGAGGCGTAGCGGCCGAAAGCTCGGCCACCAATGGTGGAACGGAGGACACGAGGGACTTGCAGGAGGTTGGAGCCACTCAATGCACTTTACAGTATATCCTGTGAAGCTCTTTGGGATGTCCTCCCTAAGTAAAAAGGCGCTATTCCAAATAGAAGGATTATTACGATTAAGTTATTGTTTTTCAGATTGGCTTTGAAAAGACCTAATAGTTGAGGGAAGACTACGTAATTTGGCGAGCGTCTTATCAAAATAGTGATCGGTGGAGTTCTACATTTGGTCGAAATTTTCCTGGATTAAACGACAAAGTAAAAAAAAAACAAGTAGGACGCATGAGCGAAGAATGTCTAACTGAGCAAACTAATGAAAGCTGATTAATGTCTGAGAAACTGTCAGACACTCAGCAAAAAAAAAAGGACACAATTAAGAAAATAAAGCAGAAAGTTTTATCTGGAGGAGATCTGGGTTGGAAAACACGGAAGTATTGGGTAATTGACATTGTGCGCTCAAAGATTTCATTTGGGTCATTAGACGTAGAGATACACGATGTATAAGTGCTCATTAGTGAAACAAGCCGGGACTTTAACGTGTTTCATATCAAGACAACGGTAAAACAGGTCACACTAATCCTTCATAAAAAAAGTTAATTGACTAAATATAATGTGCGTTGTCCAAACAGATTAACATTGGACTTTATTACTGAGGTGCATAAGGATAGAATTGAGCACAGCTATGATCCCAACCCCTCTCCAGGCTGGAATTCCCTGCTGATTCTCATAGTCCAGGCTCACACTTGGCCACCCGAGTGACGTACCAGACATGGAATGCTGTGGAATTGTACCGCAAGCTGAATTATGAGACACGGGGAGATAATTGTGAGACAGGGCGTCCTGTAGTTTAGTGGTTAGAGCACATGCCTCGCAAGCGAGAGGACTCCGGGTTCGATTCCCGGTCAGGGCGAAACGTTGGGCAAGTTTCCTTACTCCACACACACGCCTCTGTTTACCAGCAGTGAGTAGGAACCCGGCTGTTGGATCGCTTTTCCGCTTATTTCCAAAAATAAATAACGCTGCTGAGCGCAATTGGCTGCCGTGCTTCGCCCACAAGATGCACAGTCAATTCACTTGACAGAATATTCTATGAAGACCGATGAGACGTCTCGAAGACGTGATAAGGCGCTGTATCAAATGCAAGGATTATTATTATTATTAGAAAAAAACACCAGAGAGTAGGTCGAAAATAAGGCGGCAGCCTTGAGCACAGTGAAAAGACATTAGTCATGCATGTGAATACACAAACATTCTGCTTTACAACAGGGAATTCTGAGCCAAGGCACGGGCTGTTAATAGTTTTATTCAACTCAAGACTCATCTTTCACTCGCAGACAACAAACAACCAAACACGAGCCTTACTAAAGCTAAAACTTTGCCATCGACCAGTGGTTCAGAATAATTGAGGGGATGTTTAATTTTATACTGTTTAGGCAACAGCGGCAAAACAAAAATAAGGAAATCTTATCCCTTCGTTAAAACCCAGGTCCTTCACACCTTTCCTCTCCTGAAGCCCCCAAAACCGAGCAGAGCAAAACATTAGGCAAGTTTCCTTACTCCGCACGCCTCTGTTTACCAAGTAGTAAGTAGGAACCTGTTTGTTAGTCCAGAGGTAATAATCCCTTCAAAAAATTGGTCACTTAATCCACGGCGGTTTGTGGGGACGCTGCTGTGCGCAATTGGCTGCCGCGTTTCGCCCACAAAATACAGTCAATTCACTTTACAGTGTATCCCGTGAAGCGCTTTGAGACGATAAGACGCCGTATCAAGTGCCAGGATTATTGTTATTATTATTATTATTATTATTATTAACGCCTGCGGTGAGCACTGTTCATCCGAAATTGTTCGCAGATTGGAGATGCTCGGAATTCTGGTCCCCACATTAGATTCTGTCTGTAGCAAATTAAACATCAAAGTGAGACTTTGATACCAGGAAACAATCCCATCTGGGACTAGACTGCGTTTTCCTTTTAAAACCACATCTCGCAATTTTATCCTCAAACCACATGCTGAGGGGTCACGAACGGGTTTAAATTCCACTCTTTTATTTCCCCCCAAAGTCCTTTTGAAACTGGATTTCGTGCCACGCCCACATACCCCCCCTATTCCCAGCGCAACTGATGCTAAACCTCTTCAGAAGGGGTTAACTTTACAAGCGTAATAATGATAACAACCTTCCATTTGATACAGCGCCTTATCACGTCTTCGAGACGTCTCAAAGCGCTTCACGGAATATACTGTTAGGTAAATGGACTGTATGTTTTGTGGGCGAAACGCGGCAGCCAATTGCGCACAGCAGCGTCCCCACAAACAGTAGCGGATTGAGTGACCAAATTATTATTATAATTTTTTTTGAAGGGATTCTTACCCCCAGAAAAGCGATCCACTGACTGCTGGTAAACAGAGGAATGTGTGCGGAGTAAGGAAACTTGCCCAACGTTTCACCCTGCCCGGGAATCGACCCCAGGTCCTCTCGCTTGCGAGGCGAGTGCTCTAACCTCTTACTAAGCTGCAGGACTCCACATGTATGCATTACACTGTGCAAAATTGCCTCCTGAGTGCTGGAAGAGAAGATTGGAAAAGGAGTTGCGAATTCCTGGATTGATTTAAAAAAATGCCAGGATAATTTTGTGGTCGACAACACAACAGGATGAGGTTGTTCTACTTGAAGACTGACTGAGCTCAACAAGTCTGCACTCACCAAACCACATCAAAGCTCAGAGGAAAAAGGGAACTCTGGTAGCATTGCACTGTAGCAACTGGTAAGTGGGGTTGGGTACAGGCATGTGCGTGTGTGGTGGGGGTTAGGTGGTGCAGTTGTGCAGAGGCAGAGGCAGCAATGCAGTTGTTTGGGGGGGCAACACTGCACATCTGCAGCTCAGAGATAATACAGCAAAGTGCAACAAGGAAGGCAGTCGGATTAAAATGCCGCACGGCTCGGGATTCAACAGGTAAAGGCTGAACTCGCATTGAACGGGGCTATCAGAATAGGCCGTGTGTTAAATCCAGTTTATCTGAATCCCATAACGGAATTCATCAGACAATGTGGACCCCTCACCCAAACTGTGTGGATCTGCAATAGACTGAACACTGGGCTGTATTACCAACTTGATCCAGATCCGCGAAGGTTTGGCTCAATCCATAACTTGCTCTGACCATGGCCATATTTCTGGCTGCAGTGACACGGTGGCATTCTGCGCTGCTCATGAGGGAACGGAATGAGGCACATCCCCTGTATTACGTAGAGGGATGAGGTAAGAGAAATGACGAGCTAAACCAGGTTTCCCTTCAGTCTCAAAAAGAATCATAGAATCTTACAGCACAGAAGGAGGCCATTCGGCCCAATCTTGCCTATACCGGCTCTTTGGAAGAGCTACCCAATCAGTCCCACTCCCCCGCTCTTCCTCAAATTGTCTCGAAAGCAATTTGTAATAGTTATCGGGTCAGAGGAAGTGACCTGGAACAGATATTTTCAAGGCCCGACAAGGCAACAGTACAAGAGGGCACAAGTTCAGTGCTTATGAAGGACAAGTGTAAGACAATCATCATGTAGCTCTTCACCTAGATATCGGATCCTGCTTTGAGCGACGAAAGAGATTAGCATTTGTGAAGCCCTGATTTCTATTTCGCGTTGCCAATTCCTAGGGTTAGTTACAGATGTGCACGAGAGGTCTGTGCATTATGCAATGCCCAGATTAAGAGGCTTTCCAAGAGCAGTTAAAAAAAAAAAAAGAATCGGTCCCTTAAACCAAGAACTTTAAAAGGGACCATTTTGAAGCGGAGCCAGACTTGGATCCTGCTGTGTGCATAATGCACAGTGAAAGCTGACTTGCTGCCAAGACCACTTTCTAATGTCAATGCCGTCTCTCCAGCCAGGCCAGGCTCCGGCTTATTTCGCTTTCAGGTCCAGCTGCTCGACAATTTCTACTGCAGGTTTCGCACTGAAACAGCCCCCGTGGGTGCAACGTAAAATGCACCCCCTACCGCATCAGGGCTCCATTGCACTTCATAACCCAGAGCCCTCTGCACTCGAGGTTTTTCTGGTTGTGATGGAAATGCAGGAGAAAGTTCCTATTCTGGTGCAAATTGTTAAGGAGACTCAATAATAAGGGATGGATGGGAAGGCTTTCAGATTCGGTTCTCCAGAGACAGCACACTGCGCGAGAGAGCAGAGCAAGCAGGAAAGAAATCAGGTTCAGATACAATCATGCGGTGGGGTGGGGGGGGGGTGAGGGGGCGAATAATCCTCAGTAGGAGCTGCTACTCTCTTCATTTAGAAGCTTTAGGTAAATAGGCTTGTAGACCTTTAGTGCTAAATACTTTTTACGCTCGCCCTTGTAATAATATATAATACCGTAATAATAATAACACCGTAAATTGTAAATGATAATAATTTGATGCAGCACCTCATTACGTCTCAAAGCGTTTCACAGGATATGCTGTAAAGTGAAGTGACTGTGTGTCTTGTGGGTGAAGCTTAGCGTCCCACAAACAGTCGTGGATTGAAGCGACCAAATTCTTCTTATTTATTTATTTGTTTGTTTGTTTGTTTGTTTCTCTTTGAAGGGATTATTACCCCCGGAAAAGCGATCCGCCAATCGACTAGCAACCGGGTTCCTACTTACTGCTGGGCAAACTAGCAAATAGTTAAAAAGATTCCAATATTATATTATTTGTACATGACCTGCTCGGGTGACAAATCAAATTGCGTAAACTGAGCAAAATGAATCATGCACACGGTACACACTTCACATTGTTACAGTAATAATAATAAAGCACAACTGGCTTTTATGGAGTTATGTGTGTATTTGTCCAGAGTTAGCAGCTTATCTGACTCGCTGCCTACAGGAGAGAGGTCAATGAGTTCAACAACAGAAACAAAGAAAAGCACAACAACCCTCCTCCTCGCTATTCGAAGGATCAGTAAAGTCACGGAACGGTTTTCTCATCAGATCACTCGAGTCGGTGCCTTGCAATCTCAAGGTTGTGCTGAACGCCAGCCAAGCCCAGTGGAAGGGTCACGGCAGCGACTGAGAAGAGGATTAACACTTTCATTTAAGAGCAAGTCAACCAGAAACTCGGGAACGCTGATGTCTTATCAAATTAAATGCTCTGGGAGCAGCGAATGCAATTGCTTATCCAGCGATTTTTGAGGTGATTCCCTGCCCGAGTAGCTTGATCCAGATAGGAATGGAAACCACCGATGATTGGCAATAGCTGCCAGCACAAACAACGGCAACTGCATTTACACAGCGCCTTGCACGTCGGGAGGAGAGTGAAGGGTTTGCACCTGAGCTGGGTGTTGGGATCAAGTGGGCTGGAGGGCAGGGTGGGGGGGTGGTTATGGATAGGAGGATGACCGAATGCACGGTCAAAGAGGAAGGTCTTGGACGGGCCTTAACGGAGGCAAGGGAGGAGGCGAGGTGGAGGGGCTCTGAGATGGAGTTCGAGAGGCTGAAAGCCTGTCCGCCGATGGTGGAGCGGGCAGGGCAGGGCAGGGGGCATGTCGCGGGCCAGTGCCCACTGAGCGGAGGGAGCAGGTAAGGGTTTAGTAGGTCGCAGAGGTAGGGAGGCGCAAGACCATGGAGGGCTTTAACGAGGATCTCGAACTTGAAATGCAAACACAGCAGGTGAGAATCAATAGCAACAACAACAATCCTGGCATTCGATACAGCGCCTCATCACGTCTTCGAGACGTCTCAAAGCGCTTCACAGGATACGCTGTAAAGTGAATTGATTGTATATTTTGCAGGCTCCACTCGAATTGCAGTCCCTTAAAACGGCGTGGAGAACTCTTTCTCTCTCTTACTGAATAGCAACTGTCTCATTCATTATATTAAATAATTAACTTTAAAACCCGGGCCCAGTGCATCCCGTGAAGCGCTTTGAGACGCCTCGAAGACGTGATGAGGCGCTGTATCAAATGGTAATGTTATTATTACGTTAGTTGGAAGTGGAAAAAAAATACTTGCGATAATTTGTATGTATCTCATCGATTTCTTTTTCTGACTGGTTCTTCGAAAATTTCAGCACCTGATAAAACAGATAAAACAGTCGGTGTAGTTTTGCTCCTCGGATCCATTTACACGAAAAATTGCAGAGAATTTCTGCCGAATATTAAAGGTAACTTACATTTTGGCTGGCCTGTTTTTCGAGCTGAGCTTGGCTCTTTTCATTGCTTTCGATTTTCTTCACAATCTCGGCCGCTGTTTGCAGACAAAGGGATTAAAAAAAAGATAAGCAATTAGAAATGAGCGAGTTTAGTCCGTGAGTAACTGAGCCACAGAAAGCCTGAGGATCTAAGGCGCTAAGTTGACTGATTCCAGTCAGGCCTGAGGTAGGGAGATACTTCACACCTCGCCTTGGGGAGAAAGGTCGGGGGAAAGAGGAGCAGAAAATTAGCCACAGTCTCATCTCTTGATCTCTAACCGGTTCTCCCACAAAACACACAGTCACTGCACTTACAGCGCATCCTGTGAAGCGCTCTCAGACGTCTCGAGGACGTGATAAGGCGCTGTATCAAATGCAAGGATTATTATTATTATCCAGTGAGCTCAATGCTGGGAGATGGGCTGGGTAAGAACTTGATTTTTATGTAAGAAAACATCCGAAAGCACTTTACAGGGTGGGAGGAGGGGTGGGCCAGGGAGATGAGAGGCGAAGAGGGAGGTGGTGCAAGAGAACATTACATTGTCCAAGGTGCCGTCCCTCGGAGGGGCCGTTAAACCGAGGTCCAATCTCTCTGTCTAGGGGGACGTTTAAGATCCCATTGGTCCTATTTGAAAAGAGAAGGGAGTTGCTCCTGGCCGACAATTCCCCAGATCATAGAATTATAGAATTATATAGCACGGAAGGAGGCCATTCGGCCCATCATGCCTGTGTCGGTTCTTTGAAAAGAGCTATTCAAATCAATCCCACTCCCCTGCTCTCTCTCTCTCCATAGCCCTGCAAACTTGTCCTTCCCAGATAAACCAGTCAATCAATCATGGCTGTTTGTGGGCGATTGCTGTGCACAATTTGGCTGCCATATACACATATATATATATACAATACACACATATGCCTCAGTAAAATCCTATAAAGACCTTGAGATGCCTCCACATCTCAAGGTGATAAGGTACTTCATCAAATGCATTCCTACTCTTTTTAAGTGAACACTAGTAGCAAGAGGTAATGAAATGCATTTAAGTGAATGAGAAAGTCAAACTAAACAGGTCAGCATTTTAGGATTACTGACCTGTGCGCTCTCAAACAAAAAGGACGATTTAAATTCCGGAATTTGGAAATTCAGTGGCTTAACAGGCATTAAATGTTCCAGAATTTAATTTTAGTAACTTAGAAATGGGATATATATTGTATTAATAATAATAATCCTTGCATATAATATAGCGCCTTACCACGTCTTCTAGAGGTCTCAAAGCGCCACACAGAATATACTGTAAAGTGAATTGATTGTATATTTTGTGGATGAAACGCGGCAGCCAATTGCGCACAGCAGCGTCCCCACAAAGCAGCTGTGGATTGAAATGACCAATTTATTATTGTTTTTTTTTCTTGAGGGCGTGTGGAGTAAGGAAACTTGCCCAAAGGCTTCACCCTGCCAGAAATCGAACCCAGGTCTCTCGCTTGTGAGGCGAGTGCTCTAACCACTGAGCTACAGGACTCCACTTTAACAGTGAATTGACTGTATTTCGTGGGTGAAATTAAACAAGAATGTGATTAAATTAAAATAAAAACGTACTTGAATTAAAATGTAATTTTCATTTAAATTATATTGAGGAATAGAAGAAAAGGACAGCAATGAGAAAAAAGTCATTTGACCCATCAAAGCTGATTTCTCCAGCACACCAACTCACTCTCTCTCACATCTGTCACCCGCTGTGCCCTGAATAACTTCAGTGTTTTTTCTTCCAGTACCTTGCTTGCTAGATGATTCCTACCATTTATCACTTCAAGAGGGATTTTTTTTTTTCATGACATCTGTTCTGAATTTTAACTTTTTCACTGGTTTCCATTCAAGTCATCTGGTCCAACTCCGCAGTAATTGTCTGGCTTCATATTAACCATTATCGTTAAATATTTTATATACTTGAATAATAGTTCCACGACTGCCTTCTTCCCAGATTGTAAAGCTGTATCTCTCTTGTTAGTTCACCACAGTTCATCCCCACCAAACATCAGGGAACATTTCTGTCGCTCTTTTCTGTACCTTATCTTCACCCAAGTTTATTTTAATATGGACTTTCAAGGGTCACTGATCAGTAATTTAAACAGAAACGGTGTCCCATTCCTTCCTCTTCCCTCTTTGCTAGTCCAGGAACATTGAGAATATTGGATGAGTGCCACGTTTTGCCCAAAAAATCCACAGTCAATTCGCTTTAAGTGTAATCTGTGAAACACTTCTCAACGACATGATAAGGCGGTATATTAAATGCACGGATTATTATTATTACTAGCTCAGTGAACCTCAGGACTTCCAGATGTGCAACGCTCAGTTCTACAATGCATTGCGTGTATTAACACTATTGAGCTATTAGGGGAACATGATTTAAATCATGTGTACGATTAAAGCATTAACATTGCTGTTAAATGTGTTGCAGGGGCCATGCAGGGCTAACCTCATACTATCCACAACATGACTGGAACTCATTTTCTCAATCCGTCCTCTCCAAAGGAAGGGATTATTAATTCTGTTTACGTCTTTGGTATCAATCACTCATGCAAATCACTTTGCTATTGGGTATCAGTCATCGACTTATCGTTTGACAGACAGTTTGATACTCTAATGCCAGTCATTCACCAGCAGGGAGTCAGTCCACTTATCAGTATCACAAACAATGAATATTAATAAGTGCTCATTACTCACCATTCTGTGAGATAAGCAGAGTGGAATTTTAAGTATTTCGTACAATGGGCGAGTGAGGTTTTGCTCATTAAGAGGAGGTTGGAGCTTAGAGCTTTTCGGGTCAGTGGTGTATTAGGGTTGTATGGATGGACAGTTTCACTCGGTGGATCGAGAGACTTGAAGCATCCTGAGATGTGTAGTCTTGTAGCTTAGTGGTTAGAGCACTTGTCTTGCAAGCGAGAAAGCCTGGGCAGGGCAAAATGTTGGGCAAGTTTCCTTACTCCACCTGTCTCTGTTTACGTAGTAGTGAGTAGGTTAGTTAGTCGATTGGTGGATCGCTTTTCCGGGCGTAGTAATTCCTTCCAAAAAAATAATAATTTGGTCACTCAACCCACGGCTGTTTGTGGGGACGCTGCTGTGTGCAATTGGCTGCCGCGTTTCGCCCGCAAAATACACAGTCAATTCACTTTACAGTATATTCTCTCCTTCACCTCCGCTGACCCCTCCAGGATTTCTCCAATGGACTTTACCCAAACAGATGTTCTTTATAGATGACCCCAGGTGCTGAAAGTACGGTCATGTGGCGGGCAAGCAAAGCCAAAGGAGAAAATGGGGTGGAGGGCAGGGGATATTGGGTTAGAGGGATGTTAGTGATGCAAAACAAAGGGGGTGGTGGGGCAGGAGAGGCAGACCAGAGATTAAAGAGATATTTGTTAGGTCAGGGTAAAAAAGGGATATGGAGCAAATGCTAGTAATTGGAATTGAGGTACAGATCAGCTGCGATCTGATAGGAATGGCAGAACAGGCTCGAGGGGCTGAGTGGCCTACTCCTGTAAGCAGACAGAGAAACAGACTTAGAGGGAGAGAAAGAGAGACACACACATACACACACACACACCTCCATGCCTCTAACTGAGACCCTCTCTCTCTCACCCTACGCTGTATCAGATTACAGAAGAATCGAGTTGCCAGGACACAGTTGGTGGAACAAAAAAAAATCTGATTCTTGGAAGCTCTCAGCATGCTCCCAACTACTTTTTTTTTGCCAGTATCACATTTTTGCATTGGAGCCCAATGTTCCAGAGAAGTGGACAGACTGACACATGGTGGGTTTTGGCCATCTCCGCAACTTCAAATGGCGGCTGGATGGAAAGTATCTCAAATGGAAAGGTTCCCACTGTTCCAGTCAAGCACGACAATCAGATCCGAGGGACACATGCTCACTCGCCATGGGCTGGATTAATCTTTCAGCTGAGGTTAGCTTGGACCTGAAAACATCAGCAGAAAGCAAAGAGGTAATAATAATAATAATACTCCTTGCATTTGATATAGTGCCTTCGAGACCTCTCAAAGCCACAGAATATACCGTAAAGTGAATTGACTGTATATTTGGTGGGCAAAACCAATTTCCTCATGGATTATTTCCTTGCGTTTGGGTCAGAAGGACTCCAATAACTGCTGTGATGGTTCTCTCCAGAGATTAGGAGAATTCATACTGTGGTCCGGTCTCTGCTAACAGAGACAAATCTAATGTTCAAACGTGAAGCAATTTTGATTAGAAATTTCAGCAGAGGGTGAGCATTTTTTTGCTTTACAAAATTAAACTTAAAGTCTGACCGGCACTCTCTCAGTCTCACCTCTCAGTCAGAAGGTTGTGGGCTCAAGCCCCCACTTGGGGACGTGAACTTACAGCCGAGGCTGATGTTCCAATACAGCGTTTGGAGGAGAGTTGCATTGTTGGAGGTGCCGTTCTTCAGACGAGGTGTTTAAACCGAGGTTTCATATGCACGTTCACGGGGAAGTTAAAGATCCCATGACACGGTTCAAAACGAGAAGGGAGTTTCCTGGCCAACAATCCTCCGGGTATAATTGATCATTCACTTACTTGCCGGTTGTACATTGCTGTGTGCAAATTTGCTGCCTTTGTTCGTCTACAAAATACAGTCACTACACTTTGCCATAAATCCTGTGAAGAGCTTTGAGACGCTTTGACTAAGTGATAAGACGCCATATCGAATTCAAGGATTATAATATTATTCTATTTAATATATTTATATTCAATGTATTGTTATATTAGATTTAATCATATTATATAAACACTGATTACCTTGTTCTTAAATGGCGTGTGTGAAGTGACTCAGGGTTGGAGTTTGGAGACCTTTGAGCATTCATTGTAGATTAGCCTTGGACTAGTACAAATCAAGATGACATTTCAAATATTGGCAAATCTACTTCTAACTTCTCTTTGATTCCAAGGAACTCAGGCGCAGACAACATAAAATTAATGTTTGAACTCTGGTCTTTTTAGGAGCATCTGTTAGACAGAATTAAATGTCTACATAACACCTGAGCCAGATGGGA